TATGATGCACGATCCTCGCAGTAGATAGCGCTATTTAAGCAATAGCGAAAATCAGACCTGAAAAAAATCAGGCCTGTACGGGATTCGAACCACTGACCTCTGCGATACTAGTGCAGCGCTCTACCAATTGAGCTAACAAGCCAACTGGGAGCAGGCCGTTGAGTTGATTCGTAATAAACCCGTGAAAGTGATAAATGAGATACAATGAAATATATGAAGTTCATATATTTTGTACTGCGGTATTAGATACATATGATGCACGATCCTCGCAGTAGATAGCGCTATTTAAGCAATAGCGAAAATCAGACCTGAAAAAAATCAGGCCTGTACGGGATTCGAACCACTGACCTCTGCGATACTAGTGCAGCGCTCTACCAATTGAGCTAACAAGCCAACTGGGAGCAGGCCGTTAAGTTGATTCGTAATAAACCCGTGAAAGTGATAAATCAGATACAATGAAATATATGAAGTTCATATATTTTGAACTGCGGTATTAGATACGTATGATGCACGATCCTCGCAGTAGATAGCGCTATTTAAGCAATAGCGAAAATCAGACCTGAAAAAAATCAGGCCTGTACGGGATTCGAACCACTGACCTCTGCGATACTAGTGCAGCGCTCTACCAATTGAGCTAACAAGCCAACTGGGAGCAGGCCGTTAAGTTGATTCGTAATAAACCCGTGAAAGTGATAAATCAGATACAATGAAATATATGAAGTTCATATATTTTGAACTGCGGTATTAGATACGTATGATGCACGATCCTCGCAGTAGATAGCGCTATTTAAGCAATAGCGAAAATCAGACCTGAAAAAAATCAGGCCTGTACGGGATTCGAACCACTGACCTCTGCGATACTAGTGCAGCGCTCTACCAATTGAGCTAACAAGCCAACTGGGAGCAGGCCGTTAAGTTGATTCGTAATAAACCCGTGAAAGTGATAAATCAGATACAATGAAATATATGAAGTTCATATATTTTGAACTGCGGTATTTATAGATACGTATGATGCACGATCCTCGCAGTATCTACTGCGAGGATCGTGCGATATCTACTGCGAGGATCGTGCGATATCTACTGCGAGGATCGTGCATCATACGTATCTAATACCGCAGTTCAAAATATATGAACTTCATATATTTCATTGTATCTGATTTATCACTTTCACGGGTTTATTACGAATCAACTTAACGGCCTGCTCCCAGTTGGCTTGTTAGCTCAATTGGTAGAGCGCTGCACTAGTATCGCAGAGGTCAGTGGTTCGAATCCCGTACAGGCCTGATTTTTTTCAGGTCTGATTTTCGCTATTGCTTAAATAGCGCTATCTACTGCGAGGATCGTGCATCATACGTATCTAATACCGCAGTTCAAAATATATGAACTTCATATATTTCATTGTATCTGATTTATCACTTTCACGGGTTTATTACGAATCAACTTAACGGCCTGCTCCCAGTTGGCTTGTTAGCTCAATTGGTAGAGCGCTGCACTAGTATCGCAGAGGTCAGTGGTTCGAATCCCGTACAGGCCTGATTTTTTTTTCAGGTCTGATTCTCGCTATTGCATAAATAGCGCTTTCTACTGCGAGGATCGTGCATCATACGTATCTAATACCGCAGTTCAAATATATGAACTTCATATATTCATTGTAACGAATATATAGCTGAAAGATTCGCTTTGATAGGAACCAAGAATGACTTGTTCATTTCGAAAGTTATAAGAGAAAGCCAAACGTGTTTTTGGCACAAGAAACCCACGAGGGTCGTTTATGTTTTTGTTTTGACTGTCTTCTCCCACTTTCTGCGACTTCATTGCAGACATTGTATAGAAATCACGAACTTTGTAAGTCCGCCTCACATTTTTCCTACGCGGGTTCAAAGCGGGCAATCCCAAACTTGCCCGCTCGGGTAGCCATAAAGAACACAGGATTCGCCCCATATTGCCCACGAGCGCTGCTAGCTATGTAATAAATTAAATGCAGAGGAAATTATGCGCAAAGGACATCTGTATGTTCTCGTTAGCTTCGTTTGTCCTGGCGAAAAAATATACGGCGTAAAATTCATCTGCTTTTAAGACCAACCGGCGATAAATGGGGACGACAGACTCTATGAGTGGCAAATTATCCGACCAGGAAAATGTATTTCTCTATCTTAGACCGCACGCTGTCTATATTCTGACGATATATTTGTTATGTTATCAAATGTCTGGGAGAATTAGTCTCGAGGACCTCGCTCGGCGTAAGACATCAAGACTGTCAAAGTCTCTTTTCCTTTTTTGTTTTTTTTTTTTTTAATTACTTGGTTCTCCAGTACATAATTCTACTTGCATCCAATTTTACTTAGTTTTGTTTAACTCTGTTTAATTTCTCAGACTCTCTCACTTTGATTCTCGCTGAATGCTTCTCGCTAACTTGTGTTGCTAAACACTGGCACTTCAATTGCGGAATTCTGACTCTACTCTTCTGCACACTGTCTACATTCTTTTACTCTCTAATATGTAGGCTTGAAAGGACATCTATTCAATATTGACAGCTATGGGTGGGCATGTCAGCTGGCTGATCCTGAGAGAGTAAACATTCGTCGTTAGAACACTAAACCAAAAAATTTCACGAGACTGTCGAAGTGAGCAACAAAGTACTTAAGATACAATGAAATATATGAAGTTCATATATTTTGCGGAAGTACTTAAGCATTATGCTTCCGGTCGATCAACTAAATCAACCGCTGACCACATTAGCCAAGAAATCAAGAACTTTTGCGTGGGTCCAAAGCAAGGTCAGCAAACAAACTAAGGAAGTTAGACAAGACAGTCACAATTCGGAAATTCATCACGACAGCTTAAACCTACATAACTTCGGATTTCGAATTCATACATTCTGAATATAAGAAACTGGCTAAACCATACTGAACTAACTAGCCAACTGACTGGCTAAATACTTCATAATACATTTCTACGGGTTAATATGGTTTTACTACCACAAACTCGGTTGCAAAAAAATCTTGACATGTCCCACCTCACTCGTCTGTCCTTTTTCTTATGTTTTACAGTGTCACTGCCGTCCCCCCCCCGCCCCTTCACGTTTAGTTTGAAGAAAAAAATTAAAGAAATAGTTAACATTTCATTGCTGTAAAAAAGTCTGCTGCGCTTTCTTTGTATCAATAAAACATGTCTCCTGACGAACCGACTGTTGCATGCCCCTTCAATCTCTATAACAATTAATTAGGTTCGGTTACGGATTTGACTTAAATGATTCTGAGAAATAACGTTTTATGCTATGGTCTGACTCGTGTGTAAAAAGAAAAACTACATCTGCGTTTATAATCATCGCATTTTTTATCTAAATATATAATCTGTTACAGGGCCCACCTGGATTCATTGGACCTCAAGGGACACGTGGACCGAGAGGATCACGGGTAAGTTATCAAGAGGTGAAAATAATCGATCGAAAGCAGGGACTTGGAATTAAGGAGTCAGTTAATTAACAAACCAGTTCTTAATATGGGAAGCCTGTGCCTGTGAAAGCAGGTTGACGAAACTCGGCGAAGGTGTAAAAGTGACCAAAATGTACCAGGAGAGAATGTTCGTAGTCAGTGGTTTCATTTTCAAAACATAGTTTGTGTAAATTGAACTTGGCATATCTCCTGATAGTTTCTTCACCTCACTCTTCGCTGGCTTTTCTCACTAGGGTCCCCAAGGGAACAAGGGTCAGCAGGGTATCACAGGACCTCCCGGTCTTCCGGGTCCACCTGGACCCCCGGCAAACACGCTGGTAAGTGCATTTCTTTTATCCTCAATGTCAGATTAGGAAAAGTAATTAGCCTGCGCAACCTCAAACTGTTAAGTAAAGGGAAGTAGGCGGTTGAAGTGAATGAATTCGGCGAGAAAAAAAGTTGTCAAAGTTGTGCAGGTTGACTAAGCTTTGCCACGCTATTCTGTTATGAAATCCTTTTCAAGATTCATTTATAGACAAGATCCCATAATTCCTTGTAATCCTAAGGCAGGAGATTCATTTACAGACAAGATGCCACAATCTCTTTTAACCTTAAGGCAGGAGACGTGAGGCGAAGAATATTTCACTCTTTTCACCGATCCCTTTATGACCCAATCTGCCCACGTTTCTCCTCAAGGTGACAAGTAAATTGACTCCCGTCAATTTCGTAACTGCCATTTAAAGTCTAACATCAAGTGGAAGTTATACAGCTAAGGTCTCATTGTATTCTCACCGTCACAGGCAGTTTTTCTTCAAAGAAATTATCACAATTTTTTCGGTATTGCCTCTTAAAAAGAGCAGTCTTCGCGACAAAGGTGCCTAAGCAGGCGCGTAGCGTCCTATATGCATATACGCACGTGTGTACTTGAAGTGACTAGAAAATTTTGAAAACATTGTTGTGTTTGCGCCAAGTTTTCTCAAAATAAGGGCAAGACGCTTTGTTCGTTGCTTGTATTCACACAACTATTTCGAACAAAAACTAAAGAACGCAGCATTTTTCGCCCAGTTTACTTAGGTTTCTAGATCACAATTACTTGTGCGTACTTGAAAAAATGACCACGCTACGTGTTTGCTAAGAATGGTTGTGTCGCTTAATCTGTTGCTAAATTAAATTATTGCAGTACGAGTCAATACCAGGTGAAAAGGGACCTGCCATTCGACCAATCCTTGTAACAACAGCTGCCATAAAAATGAAGGTAATGAATTGTTTGTTTTGTAATCAGCATCAGTAGCTGATGAGACTGTCACTTACCTGAACATGAACGCGGGACATTTGGAATAGGGGCGGTAGATAAATACGTAGTGGGAAAAGCTGGGGTAGAGGGGGACAGGATTGGTTGGAACTATAATAAGAACGTGTTCACTAATTACTTATTTGATTTTTACGGACAAAAATCAACATTGTTTAGACAAAAATGTTTAAGATATGCGAACAAAAGTTACGATACAATCACAGTATTTCAATTCCTTAAGAGATCCCTCGTTGCTCCCAATTAAAATCTTACTGTTTACATGTCAAGATGTGGATTAAGTATGGTTAGCATAACGTCATCAACTACTAAATGTTTTATAAAAACCTCATTTTCACGAAGTATAGAGAAAGTTTCTATGTCGCTATATTGTTAGTCTCCCCGCAGCCGTGATGTTTCGGTCACGCAACGCTGAGGCAGCGTTGCGTGACCGAAACATCACGGCTGCGGGGAGACTACTATATTGTGTGATAGGCAGAAAAAAATCAACTACATTTCATCCCTACAGACTTGTTTCGTGGTTGCCCACTCATCAGTGGGGCAACCACGAAACAGGTCTGTAGGGATGAAATGTAGTTGATTTTTTCTGCCTATCACACGTTATACTCTCTCTATTATATGTATCGAGCACTGTTTTACGGAAAGCAAGTCTAACCCTTCTATGTCGCTTTATCCATATGTCTTTTTCATTACTAACATTTTTAGGAAATTAGAGGGGATCCTGGACCCAAAGGTCTTCCAGGCTCAAGGGTGAGTGTTCATTGGCTTGCTTTTTTTTAGGCTTATTGTCAGAAGAAAGTGAAATAAAATTCTGGCACATTTGAGAGATTTGTTTCTTGTTCTTACTAGGGCATGATGGGTATTACAGGCGAGCCGGGGAGAACTGGTGAAATGGGCGTCAATGTAGGTACCAGTCCTCTGAATCTTGAACATGGAACTTCTCGTTAAACTTCCTTTTGTAAAATTTATCTTCAGGAGAGAAAACCACCCATCCAAAGAGTTTTGTTAGCAGCAAGACTATTACCGAAAGATCCTGTAGTTGCCTTGCTTAGTTAAAACGATGTTAATTTTTTTCTGGTACCTTACATACTAATTGCTTCTAATGTGTTTCCTGAAATTTTCAGAGAAACTTGGAAACTAGCACTAACTTGTCTTAATTCATACATTTTCTCACATATCCTCTACAATCGCCAACGTCTTCAGGACAAGAAAACATTTTTTTTTCTTTCAGGGAGAACGAGGAGATCCTGGTGGACCCGGTCTGCCCGGATTGGATGGCACTCCAGTAAGTCGTCTTTACTTCATTTTTCAGAAGCTGACAATAATTCAACGGTCAATGAAAGTATAAAAACATTTTAAATCATTCAATCGCAATTTTTACAGGGCTTGAGAGGAAAACCTGGCAAGCGAGGCTTTCGTGGAATGAAAGGATATCAGGTGAGTTGGACAGTTTTTGAATTTAATATTCATTACATAATAGTTTAAGCAGCAGCTGTTTTCGACGCCGTGAGAATAACATTAACATACAAAGCCGAAAGAAATTTTGTTGTCTTATTATACATCTCGTTCATAGTTGACCTGTAAGGCATACATTTTGTCGAGAATCATCAATCTTAATGATGTAAATTATCTGGTGATTAAATTGTTGCTAAACCTTGCAGGGTGCTATTGGCGACTCCGGACATGATGGAGTCCAGGGTCGAGATGGTCACCGAGGAAGGCGCGGTACACCAGGTCCTAAGGGTTTCCGTGGTGGCGACGGAGACGAGGTTAGAATGGTTTTAAATAAAGTGTTTAACGCTGCCCAATGCCTTCTTATTGTGATAGGGTATCTGCCCTAGAAAGAGCCTTAAGATAAGTTAAAATCCAGGCAAGGAAATGTAGGTGATTCATGATGACAAAGAGGTAGGGTTCAGAATTTGGATTGTTGCAACGTACGTAACCAGGAACGCTTGAAAGGCCACAGGCCAGACAGAACAAGTTTTTATTGACGTGGATTTATTTTAAGGGTTAGTTTGTCGCTTAAATTGGAAAATACATCAGTTAAAAAAAGCCCCCTCAGTTTATGCGTGTTCTGATGTTCCTTTTAACAGTGACGTCTGCCTTCTAATCAGGGATCCGTTGGACCAGACGGGAATCAAGGAGTGGACGGTGAACAGGTAAGGACGCTGCATTATCTAATCTATGATAATTTAAGATAAAAGTTGTTACTTTCGCAGCGCCATTTTTCAAGCTCTGTTCCTCAGGATCTGAGACAAGCTTACACCGGGGGGTTGAAGAAGGTCAGGGCCCACTATTTTCCCATGGTGTCACACATGATAATTTTATATATATTTATATATTTTATAGGGGTAATACATTTGTAACTGTGTCTTTCAGGGAGATCCTGGACCCCATGGAAAACAAGGAACTGTGGGATTCCCTGGTGACCTTGTAAGTCATGTCTCACAAGAAAGGGTTTGAGACTTTTCTGGTTTCTTCGATCAGTTGTGTGATAACTGTTTGTACTGAATATGCCCTATCAATTGAATAGCTTGTTTTTGTTAACACATACAGACATCCTCAAACAACCGACGTATAATGTTACCTGACCTTCGAAAAACAGAATGCTTTTGCTTGAAAGGACAAGAAATGTAGTTTAGTTTGAAGCATGCAGCATTTCAGGTGTGATATCAACAGACATCGGAGTTTTGCTTTCAGCGTTGGATTTTTTTGTTTTAGGGAAGTCAAGGTAACCCGGGAGCTGAAGGAGACATAGGGCTTGAAGTAAGTAAAGAAAGATGCCCTTTTGTCAAAAAAAAAAAAAAAACTTAAACTTCAATTATTTATGTTAAGCGACTTTTCTCTTAACGTACCAGCCTATTGTCTTAACTCAAAGTCAAATGTTATCTTATTAATCTGCCAGGGATCTAAAGGAGTAGCAGGGCCTCCTGGTCTCCCAGGCCCCACAGGAGAAGTAGGGTCTACGGGACAAGTGGGTGAAAAGGGACCCCTTGGATATCAGGGGGAAAGAGGCTCTAGGGGCTCCCCTGGAGTTCAGGGGCCCCCAGGGAACAGTGGAGATGATGGCATCCAGGGTGGTCCAGGCTTCAAAGGAAGACAGGCATGTGATATCCTTGCGGTTTCCTCGAAGTGCTCGTGGCAATATGCTATCATTATCATTAATTTAGACGAGGTGTTAAATCACAGAGACGATAAGTTATCTTACCTTTAAGAATAAACGTTTCAAGTGAGTATCAGACAAAAGCTGAGCCTAGAACTCCTTATCTACCGCTTGTTTTGTCGTATCAACCTCTGTAGGGTGAAGTTGGTATCACTGGACTTGAAGGCAATCAAGGTCTTTCCGGAGAAAGGGTAATCTGATATCTTGATACTTCTTACATAAGGCTTGGATTGCATAAAGACAGTTGCTTTAAGTGATGATTTGTTATTCTCAGCAACTAAGAAGATTTTGAACCACTCTTGAATGTTGTTTTTGAAACAGGGAATCCCTGGAGAGGCAGGGCCAACTGGAGGGGATGGTCCACCGGTATGATCCGTTCATTGGCTCCAATATTGGTTGTTTACATGATGTTTTATATTCAAGTTCACATGGCAGCATTGCGTTAAAATGTTTTAGTTTCTTACTTCTCATGTCTTCTGAATCTTTGATAGCTTTTCTAAGGAATCTCTTTAATTTGGCGTTGTATTTGCATTTTAAGGTTTTGAGTAGAGGGGGTGACAGATGGATAGTGTGATACGGATAATGTTTAGTAAAATGCTCCATAGCAGCTTTACCTTAAAAACCTACAACAAGTCAAACAAAAGAGGAAACGCTACAAAGTATTCAAAATGAAACTATATTATAAGTACGTACCAAGGAAGCTTTAAAATGAGTCTATGGTAAGTGACGTACATCAGACTAATTTGACACTATGTTCTTTGAAGGGTAACTACGGAGAACCTGGAGCGCGCGGAGGACCTGGGGATAAAGGAACAACAGTAGGGCCTCTTGATTGCCGTTACTATTATCTACAACACAGCCTTTGAGCAAATATCAGTAGGACCTAGGGAAGAATAATGTAACGAAATTTTTTTTATCTTGCTAGTCCCACCTGCAAATGCTTAGTATAAAATTTGGCATGATTAGGATGAGTTAAATGAACCACATGGAAATAGTTATCAAGGAGAAATCTGAAAAAGTTGTTTAAAGGCTACAATAGAGTCACATCGAATTACAGTGAAGATACCAGAATCAACAAGGAAACACGCTTTAATCGGTTTTCGCCATTTAACTTTCATAAAACTAGTCAAAACAAGGACTGAACTACAGTCGAGCCTGTAATAGTAATAGTAATGGTAATCAAAGTTTAATGTCTTTACGTGGGGCATGGTTACCCATATTGCCCAAGCCAGAGGCTCGTGTATGAAATGCAAAACACCCATAC